AATTTTTTGGTTTTTTTTTTTTTTTTTTTTTCCTTTTTGTCTTTTTTCGTGTCCAGCAACGGATTGCAACCCTCAGTGTCGCGCCCGTACCGGACCGGGACCAGCAACGGGATCGCAACCCTCCGTGTCGCACCCGCACCTCGCTCAGCCAGTGAGCGGGAACCGGTCTGTATGTGGGATCTGAACCCTCAGCGGGAGCGCCACCACGCTCCCAAGTGGCACACTGTAGCAGTGCACCACCGGGCCGGCCCAGAAGATTTTTAGTTTGATATGATCTCATTTGCTTATTTTGTTTTCTTTTATTGCCTGTGCTTTTAAGGTCTTAGTCATAAGATCTTTGCCCAGTCCTCCATCCTGAAACATTTCCTCTGTGTTTTCATCTAGGAGTTTTGTAGTTTCAGGTTTTAGATTTAAGTCTTTAATCCATTTTGAGTTGGTTTTAGTATATGGTGAGAGATAGAGGTCTAGTTTCATTCTTCTACACATGGATATTCAGTTTTCCCGGCATCATTTATTGAAGAGGCAGTCCTTTCCCCAATGTATGTTTTCGGTGCCTTTGTCAAAGACCAGTTGACTATAAATATGTGCATTAATTTCTAGGTTCTGTATTCTGTTCAATTGGTTCCTGTGTCTGTTTTTATGCCAGTACCATGCTGTTTTGGTTACTATAGATTTTTTTTTTTACATATTTTGAAGTCAGGTAGTATAATGCCTCCAGCTTTATTCTTTTTGCTTAGGATTGCTTTGGCTGTTTGGGATCTGTTGTTCCATATGAATGTTAGGGTTGTTTTTTTCCATTTCTGTGAAGAGTGGCACTGGTATTTTGATGGGGATTGCATTGAATCTGTAGATTGCTTTAAGTAGTATGGACATTTTCACAACATTAATTCTTCTAATCCATGAACATGGAATGTCATGGATTTGTGTGTGCGTGTGTGTGTGTTTTCTCTTTAATTTCTTTAGTCTGTGTTTTGTAGTTTTCATTGTAGAGATCTTTCACCTCCTTGTTTAAATTTATTCGTAGGTATTTTATTTTTTGGTAGCTCTTGTAAATGGAATTGCTTTCTTGATTTCTTTTTCTGCTAGTTCATTGTTAGTATATAAAAACACTACTGAGTTTTGTATATTGATTTTGTATCCTGCAACTTTACTAAACTCATTTATTAGCTCTAAGAGTTTTTTGGTGGATTCTTTAGGTTTTTCTGTATATACAATCATGTCATCTGCAAAAAGAGACAATTTGGCTTCTTCTTTTCCAATTTAGATGCCTTTTATCCCCTTCTCTTGCCTAATAGCTCTGTCTAGAACTTCTAGTACTATGTTAAATAGGAGTGGTGAGCATCCTTGTCTTGTTCCTGTTCTTAGAGGGGAAGCTTTTAACTTTTTCCCATTCAGGATTATGTTAGCTGTGGGTTTGTCACATATACCTTTTATTGTATTGTGATACTTTTCTTCTATACCTAACTTGGTGAGAGTCATGATAAACAGGGGATTTTGAATTTTGTCAAATGCATTTCTGCATCAGTTGAGATGATGATATGGTTTTGTTCTTGATTTTGTTGATTTTTTTGTAAATGTGATGTATCACATTTATAGATTTGCATGTGCTGAACGATCCTTGCATCCCTGGGATGAATCCTGCTTGATCATGGTATATAATATTTTTCATGTGCTGTTAAATTCTGTTTGCTAGTATTTTGTTGAGAATTTTTGCATCTATGTTCATCAAGGATTTGGCCTGTAGTTTTCCCTTTTTGCTGTGTCTTTGATTCTGGTATCAGGGTGTTACTGGCCTCATATAATGAGTTTGGGAGAATGGCCTCTGTTTTGGTTTTTTGGGATAGTTTGAAAAGAAGTGGTATTAATTCTTCTTTAAAAGTTTGGTAGAATTCCATAGTAAATCCATCTGGTCCTGGGCTTTTCTTTGTTGAAAGACTGCTGATTACCATTTCCATCTCTTTGCTTGTTGTTGGCCTGTTCAGGTTTTCTGTTTTTTATTGGTTTAGTCTTGGTAGGTTGTATGTGTCCAGAAATTTATTCATTTCCTCCAGATTTTCAAATTTGTTGTTTTATAGTTGTTCATAATAGCCTCTAGTGATTCTTTGTATTTCTGTGGTATCAGTTGTCATGTCTCCTTTTTCATTTCTGATTTTTGTTATTTGGGCCTTCTGTTCTTAGTCTAGCTAATGTTTTGTTAGTTTTATTTATCTTCTCCCAAACCAACTTTTTGTTTCACCAGTCTTTTGTATCTTTTTTTGGTCTCTTATTTCATTTAGTTCTGCTCTAATCTCTATTATTTCTTTCTGTCTACTAATTTTGGGATTGGGTTGTTCTTGTTTTTCTGATTCTTTGAGGTGTGATGTTAGGTTGTTTATTTGAAGTCTTTCTCTTCTTTTGATGTAAGTACTTATTGCAATAAATTTCCCTCTTACTGCTGCCTTTGCAGTATTGCATAGATTTTGGTAGGGTGTACTTTTATTTTCATTTGTTTTAAGAAGTTTTGATTTCCTGCTTAATTTTTTCTCTGACCCAGTGGTTGTTTAATTTCCATGCATTTGTGTAGTTTCCAAAGTTTTGCTTCTTATTGATTTCTAGTTGTATTTTGTTGTGTTTTGAGAGGATACTTGATATGATTTCAATTTTTAAAAATTTGTTGAGACTTGATTTGTGGCCTAACATGTGGTCTGTCATGGAGAATGTTCCATGTGCTGATGAGAATTAGTATTCTGTAATTGTTGGGTAAAATTTCTGTAAATATCTGTCAAGTCCAATTGGTCTAAATTGTAGTTTAAATCCAATGTTTCTCTGCTGAGTTTTTGTCTTAGATGATCTGTCCAATGCTAAGAAAGAGGTGCTGAAGCCCCCAACCATTATTATATTGGGGTCTATCTCTCCCTTTAGATCCAGTAATAGTTACTTTATGTATCTGGGTGCTCTGGTGTTGGGTGCATATATATTTATAGTTATTATATTCTCTTGCTGAATTGACCCCTTTATTATTATATAATGACCTTCTCTGTCTCTTTTTATAGTTTTTGGTTTAAAGTCTACTTTATCTGAAATAAGTATAGATACTCCTGCTCATTTTTGGTTTCCATTTATTTGAGTGGTATATCTTTTTCCATCTCTTAACTATTAGTCTGTGTATATCTTTACAGGTGACATGAGTTTCTTGTAGGCAGCATATAGTTGGATCTGCGTTTTTAATCTGTTCAGCCTGTCTGTATCTTTTAAGTGGGGAATTCAGTCCATTTACATTCAGGGTTATTATTGACAGGTATTGTCTTATTCCTGGCATTTTATTGATTTTTTTTATGGTTGTTTTATGTATCTTCTGTTCCTTTTTTTCCCTTTTATTACTTGTGTTTGCTGTTTGTTGTTTTTTTTGTAGTATAATGTAGTTTTGTTCTAATTCATGTTTGTGTATCTGCTCTACCAGTGGGCTTTATTCTTTCTTGTGTATTCATGATGGTGATTATCATTCTTTGGATTCCAGATGTAGGACTCCTTTGAATATTTCTTGTGGGGAAATTTGGCCTTTCTTACATTATCATCTACGTTCTAATTTATGGTTCTTGTTTTTCTGATTCTTTGAGGTGTAATGTTAGGTTGTTTAAATTCTTTAAGTTTAGGAAAAACTTGATGTATCTTGTTAACCACCAGATGGCACTATATAAACTTTATTTGAGAAATGTTTAAAAGTGTCACAGTTCATTATTGTGTTTCAAAAGTGTAGGCATCAAATGTAAGAACAGTGTCAGTTATTGAAGTCCTAGGGAAAGTTGCCATACTCAGCAACAGTGTATGCTAGGTAGTACATAATTGGAATGTTAATGCACTATTAACTTTTAATATATCAAGTACAGAGATCTCTAAAAAGAAATTTATTGCAAATGAAAATGAAAAAAAATTGATTTCCTTTTTCCTTTGGTAACCAACAGAATATAAGCTATTTAAGAATGTAGTACAATGTACAATGCTTATTTTTCTTCATTCTTCATGTATTTGCTGCATTGCAAAGAAGAACTTCTATACTATTATTTTTTTAATTTTGCTTTTTGATCAAACTTTTTCTTTTAATTTGCTTTTTGACCAGAATTTTTTTTTTTAATTTGCTGTAGCTAAACATAATTTAAAAATGGGGCTTTAATTTTAACTAGAGACATTTTAGTATACTTTCATAATTTGAACATTTACCTTTATCAAACTACATTTAAAATTTTTGACCTTTGTTTGAAGACAGTCTGACTTTTGTCAGAGAAGTTTTCTTCTGTCTCTGGGAAAGATGTTTCATGTCTCAGATATCACTGAAGGTTCATTGTGGTTCATGCTTCAAATTATATTTATTCTGCAGGAGGATTAACATTAATAATAATGTTTATTGATGTATCATATTATTGTGCAGATTAAATTTCATTTTTTGCCAGGCCTGATAATTTTCATCCCCTTTAAAATACCAGTGGATTGACTTGTTTCTGATAGAATTGTGGCCCCAGTGAACAGTCCTAGAAACAGAAATTATGTTGTTTATGTTTACTGTGGTTGTAAGATATTGGGAGTGAGGATTACTTTTGTATATTTAAAAAGTTAAAAGTTTGTGAATTTTGTTCTATGATAAGTAGCATCTAGTCATAAGTTCACTATTTCATAGCATCAAGTGATCATTTAAAATAAGGCCTTTTTCACACTAAACATATTTATAATTTAAAAGCATGAGGGAAACAATAGAAGCGAACATTTTGGTTCTAATTTGTTTTTTAAAAAAGAAAGTAAATGCAAGGCAATTATGTACTTTAGCAAAACAGCTTGATACTGTGCTTTTTTTCCCTTTTCCTATATTAGAATGTCATTGCAGGGAATTTCAAAACCATTTCTTTTTAACTGAAAACACACACACACACACACACACACACACACACACACACAACCACAGTCTGGTTAATAGTGAGCAGTCCTCAAAAAAACTTTAGATTCCTAAAAACTTAAAGCTATTTGCAACTTTTCTATAGTTAAAACTCTTGTTTGGAAATAATTCCTCTTCCAGCTTTCTTATGATTAGCAAAATATGGATTTTTAAATTAAATCAGCAACATATTAAAGAAAGCAGTATAGCCCAAGAAATGGATTTTTGTGAAAATCTTTGGAAAATTTTGGTAAGTTTTGTTTATATGTAGGTTAATGAAGTAATATTTGGTCTGGTAAAATACTGTCTAGGGATTTAAAAGTTAATGGGTCTAGAATATTTTGACATTGGACTGCTAAAAAGTATTTTGTTTTCCTGTGTCCTTTAATAACAGAACTTTCACTTGGGGGAGGGTATAAGGAATGGTGGTGATAATGGGAAACAAGGGCTGAGTCTAGTCAAAGTCTGGCAACCCAGACCATCTTCATAAATTTCACCCCAAATTTTCCTATCCCCCAGTTCAAAGCTTTTCTTCCCTACCAGTTCTCTCACCTTAGAAAGCCCTTTTCCCCCTTCTTAATTACAATAGGTGACTTCTAAATATATGTCTTAAAAATAGTATTTGCTGGGATGCATGGTTGTTCAGTAAATTTAAGGAACATCTAATATGTCTAATTATTAGAGTCCAATAAGCTTTTAAAAATAGCAATTTGGGGAGCAAATTTTGGTGGTAAATTGTGATAGTATGTATAAAGGAGAGTTTTTTAATTTAGAAGAAAAAGTATCAATTTTTGAATTGCAGGATTATAATTATAACTAGCTTCTGAGAACTATATATTATGGCTTCATGTAAAACTATAGAGTATCATGTTTTAGACTGCGAAGTTACTGAAACCTGAAAAGTTCAAGATTCCCACCTTGACTTGATTTTCTTACTTTTACTAAATTCACTGCTCTGTCGCTTATTGTTCCTGCCCCTGTCGTAGTCCAAATTCCCAGCATTCTTTCTTAGGAGGAGCAAAAATTTGGCCCTTTAGATTCAATGTTCAATCTGTTAAAGTTATTTCATAAATATTTTTTGTTGTTTAGAAGCAAAATTTCTTGAGAGAGTGCTTAAGTAAACTTTAGATGTCTTGCTTATCTTAGAAATCACACAAATAGTCTGATGTAATCATTAGGAAAAAAAACCAACTGGTTTTCATATAACTTGTGTCTTCCAGGTATACATTAGATGAATTTGGAACAGCCAGAAGAAGTACAGTTGTTCGTGGGTTTATTGATGCTCTTACAAGAGGGGGCCCAGGAGGTACACCCAGACCCATTGAAATGCACTCCCATGACCCTTTGAGGTAGAGTAATCAGACAACACTAATGGATTTGATCTTTTTTCAAAGGAAATCTTTACTAACACTTAATTTTCATTAGGTATGTAGGAGACATGTTGGCTTGGCTTCATCAAGCTACTGCTTCTGAAAAGGAACATCTTGAAGCTCTCTTAAAGCATGTAACTGCACAAGGTGGGTCTACTGATTATTCTTACTAATGCCTAAATATAGAACATAACACAGGGCTTCTCTTTTTCTATTCTTGTTACCATCTTTTTCACTGAGATAAGCGCTTCTCACCTAGATTGTACAATAACTGTCCTAATTTATCTCCCTTTCTGTAGATTTCCCCTTATTCTGCCTATAGACTTTTTCCTCCATCACTTACATCCTGTCACTCAACTATTCACAGTTTTATAGTGAACCTTTACTACATTCCATATTAAATGTAGGCTCCTCTGCTTTGCTTTTAAGAAATTTCTGAAGTATCTAGCATACATTAATATCTTGCATACATTATCTCAAATCCTCAGTGTGACACTTTAAGGTAAAAGATGGTATTATCTTCATCTTATCTGTAAGTAAATAAGTTCAGTGACTTGCTTAATTAAGGTCATTAAGCTTCTAATCCTTTCATTTTCTACTACCCAACCTCTTTTTATATTCTTATGGGACTCTTTTAAAATTTTTAATATAATTACCATATGTACTAACTTAAAATTTTTGTCTTGATTTCAAGGAAGAAAAATGACTGTATTTGAGAGGTGCTAATGTCTTGTTTATAGAATTTCAAATCTTCTTAGTTGTGACTTCATTAAGATGCCCACTTTAGAGTTTTAGGGTTTAGTGTATAAAAGATGTTCTATTTTTGATAGCAAGGTAAGAGAAATATGGTGACCTGTTATCACTTGACTATTTTGCATAGCTCAGTCACACATCACTGTGGTTCAGCACATGATCTCCAGGAGAGGCCAGTGTACAAAAAGGTAGTAATAGTTAACCTTACTCTTTTCGACTATTTAGTATTGAGTTGAGACTCAGCATGTTTGTTAGATTGGCACAAAGTCTGCATTTAAAAAAAATTTTTTTTGTTATCCTAATTATCCAATTTAAAAGAATGTATTTCTTTAAAGATGTTTTAGAATAGTATATATGAGAGGCAGTACAATGGGTCTTCCATTTTTCCATGAACTTTTTGAAGTATCCTTGTGTTAAGAGGTAGGAAGAAAATAGATTAGCGTTAGATGAAATTTTCTGTGGGAATGACTTAAATCTTCTGAACCTCAGTTTCTCCATCTGTAAAAGTGAAGGTGGTTACAAGAGGTGAATGTCAAGTACCTAGTACAGTGCTTGAAAAATAATCAGTATTTAGAAAATGTCAGTTTTTCCATCTGACTGCAAGGTGTGTTTTTCGTCTTATGTGCTGAGCACAACTGCCTGGAATAAGGTGTTTGTAGAACAAATGCTGATATATCTTCATATCACTTTCTTCAGTTAATAGTCCCTTTTTTCTCTGTCTCATACATTTACTCTCTTTCACAGAGAACTAATGTTCATTTTATTAATTCATCAAATGAATTAGCAAGGCTTTCTAGACCCACATTAGTTATTAACAACTAGTAATGTGTTATTAACACAATTAGTAATATCCCAAAAGATATCAAACTTACTAAAATATTATTATGGTTATTTTAACTGTTATTAGTGTCATTTTTCATAAGTATTATTGTTTGTTAGTTTTTTGAACTTACATGAAGCAAGGTATAATATGGAAAAAAATTTTAATTGTTTAATAATTAATTTCAGGCATTGAAGAAAATATTCAGGAAGTTGTTGGGCATATCACCGAGGGTGTGTGCAGGCCTCTAAAGGTAAAATAGTTTGTTTTTATATATGTTGTATGGCATCTAGTTAGAATATTGCCTTATTTTTATGAGTTTAAAGAAACCGATATCAGCTTGAACTCAAGCTGTAATTTTATCAAGTTAACTCATTAATGTAGGCTAATAAAATACATTTTACAATAATCATTGCCAGTTTTCTCTGTAAGAAAGAAAATTGGAAATATTCTTAGTTTGCATAAGTTGATGTATTTTTAACAGATTATGTTTCCCATGGTAATTTATGTTGATCAGTTGAGAAAGAGCCTATCTAAACAGCTAAGAGCCTTTCTAACAGAAAGAGCCTATCTAAACAGCTAAGTTATGAACTCTTAACAGAGATTTACGGAGAACGTGTTTCACTTTCTTTATTGCTTCAAGCATACTAAATTTTTTGTTTAGCATAGTAATAAATAATGATTAATCCAAGGGTAAAATAATGTTATGTATCACTGTTGTTATCGATACTATTTATAGTACAAGGAACAAAATTTAGAGTCAAGCTTGGGTTAAAATTTCCATTTTGCCACTTAATTGTGTTCACTTGTTCCATTTGCTTAACTTTTCTGCACTTTAATTTGCTTACATTGAACCTGTATATAAAAATACCTACCGTCAGGCTTGTTATGAAGATTAAATGAGGGCCGGCCCGGTGGCGCACTGCTATAGTGCGCAGCTTGGGAAGCGCAGTGGCACTCCCGCCGAGGGTTCGGATCCCACATACAGACCGGCTGCTCACTGGCTGAGCGAGGGGCGGGAGCAACACCGAGGGTTGCGATCCCGTGGCCGGTCCCGGTCCGGTACGGGCGCGACACTGAGGATTGTGATCCGTTGCCGGGCACGAAAAAAGACAAAAAGGAAAAAAAAAAAAAGAAGATTAAATGAGATAACTGTGTCAATGAAGAACATAGTTTCTGCACTTAGTAGGTTACAACAAATGTTCATTTCCTTTATTAATATTTGGGAAATACTTGGCAATTGTTGATTTGCTTTTCCTTATTTATTGACTTCAATTTAGTATATAGAAATTGAAATCCAGAAGTTTTGTGATTTATTCTTATCAAGAACTAAATTTTGAAACTAAATTTCTTGTATTTCTAAGATTTTCTTTGGTATTTTGTCTCAGAAAAGGAAATCTCAGATGATAAACCTTGTGACAGTTGATTATAATTACAAATTTAATTATTACTATAACGTGATCATCTTAGAGCCCATTTGTGCATTCAGTAAATAAATAGCAAAGTATTTTGAAGTTATTTTGCTTATTTCTCCCAAATAAAATATTTACTTGCCATAGTTTGATTTTCAGATATTTATAGCTCATATAAATGTTTCTTATTTTGTATCCAAGCAATTATTGGAAAGATAAAGGAAAAAAAGGGAGAATAAAAATAAGATTTATTTTGCTTACTTTTTGTATCTTTTTATAACTCCATATAGTTAACTGAAACCCCCAGTCACTTTGATAAGTAAATTTTGCTTCATCCACATTACGTTTTTTTCCCCTTCTCCATACTGATGGTATTATGTTTCTTACCACAGCTTTTATTTCCTTTTTTAAAAGCAGTAATTGTATAAAGTAAAATTCTAGAATCTTAGGGTTGGAATTGACCTTAAAATTTCCTGTTCTGCTCTGAATAAGAAATGTTAATATTTTTTAAATGTTTAAACTAACACCTGTCACTTACATAAACAAATCACATACTGAAGACTCCCTGTTTTAAAGTGTGCTCAGAAATTCTCATTTCATTTTCCTTAAATGTATATGCCCAGAAAGGTGTTTATAACAATGGTAGGACATTATTGTGATCCCCTGGCAAATTTTAATACAAGATACCAAAGGTGAAGAAGAAAACTAGTAAGCAAGCATCTTTTTATTGTAAAATGAAGAAAAATCCCTTTAGTTTATGAAGTGACAGAAACCTTAACTCTTTCTATGTGATAGTAGTATTTACTCCAGAGAATATTTAGCAGGTGTTCACGGTCGTTACACATCAAATTAGCTTGTTAGTGATTTATTATATGATTCAACAACGAGTGTACCTTCCATTCCTCTGTATACTTATTTTATATACTATTTTAACAATTTTCTTCCTTACACCTCATTTGTGAATCTGATATTTTTGGTAATATACTTAGTGGAGAGCAAAAAATCTTATTTTGATATTTTCTGAATGTTTTTCTTAGTGACCTCTCTGCTTTTACATTCTATTAACATACAATTTCTTTTTTCTAATTGATAAGGAGATAAACTTTTCCTAATGATATATGCTATTGGATATTTTGGCTGTTTTTCTGTTGCTCAATCTTTTTTCTTTGTAGGAATGAATTATTTTTAGGGCAGGGGGAGACTGATTTATAGAAGTATAAGGGAAAGGTTGTAGTGGTAATGGGAGATAGCCTTGAGAAACTATATATTTGATTTACTCTACCCTGCTTAACCTTTCTTTGTCTTAATAAAGTGTGACTTCATAGGTAGTAAACTAAATATTTGTAAATATATGCATAAAGCAAAGATTTCTAAACTTATTGCCAGTTTTAAAAAATCTGTGCTCTAAGCTTAAAATTACATATACTATGTAAAAAGGGTACTATGGCTCATCAGCATCAAGCTTATCACTTTGCAGATTTCTTCAAAGTTGTAGCTGGAAACATCAGAATTGGTATATTAAATCTCTGTTTTTCAAGTCCATGGGTAAAATGATCCTTTTTTATGTGAATGTTGTGGATTGCTGAGAGATTACTAGCTGTCATTTGAATTTTCTCTTTTAATAAAAACTTTCTTGTAATATATGCTCCTAAACTTCTTAAATTTTGGTGGGTTCTTTGAAGATAGGTATATATACAAAGATTAAATGGCATGGAAAATAGAGCTGAATACTGTATTACATGATACAGTTGCTGCACCCTCGGATTGCTGATGTGTCCTTGGGAGCAAATGTCTACCTTAAGCAACTGTCTGTGATATTAATAGCTAAAGGAAGTTTGTCGTAATCCCTTTCAGTCCTCCCTTCTCTCCTCCTCCCCCTCCCCCTCCCCCTCCTCCTCCTCCTCTCCTCTCCTCTCCTCTCCTCTCTCTCCCTCTCCCCTCTCTCCCCCTTCCCTCCCTCTCTCTACCTCTCCCTCCTACTCTTTTCTCGCCTCCCTCCTTCTCTCTGTCCCACTCCTTCTCTCTGCATAACTTTACCAACTCT